AGCGTTCCCGGATATGCGAGCCGCGGGGCAGCCGCAGGTACCACGGACGGCTCAAATGGGCCCAACGAGTGTCCGGCATCAAGGCCATGTAGATCGGGTGGCCATTGCAGTCACTCAAGACCCTGAGGATCTTCAGGGAAGGACAAGAGAATCAACGTGCGAAATCTTGGAATCCTTCTTGGAATCCTGTGTCTCGGTGGGGGCCAGCGAAAGCTGTTTGGCTGATCCGAGAAAAGCGTCGTGTGGGAGTGTCCAAACAGAATGGCAGATGCGAGCTGCAACGAGTCCCGAGAACGCAGCTCATCCTTTCCCGTTGGGGACGGGGGCCTGGTGGTCAAGTGACCAACTGGAAGATTTCCGGTAGGACGGAACGTCGCGGTGCCAATGGCCGGGGACTTGCTGGCATCGGTCGAGAAGAAGAGCAAACGGCCCATTGAAGCGCGACATTGGCCAAAGAATGAGTCGTGAGCGCGCGTGTTTGTGTTGTTGTTGTTGCTGTTGCTCAGACAAAATGCCTTGCGGGAAGCATCTCAGACCAATGGGGAAGATGCAAACAGATGATGGACCGAGAAAGTAAAGACTCAGGCCAGGTCAGGTCAGGACAGCACCGTTAGAAAGACGATGGGGACTTCCAGCAAGCAGTCAGAGCCATCCGCAAGGTGAGCCATGTCTCGAGCCGGAAGGAAACCCCAGCTCGCTCCAGCCGCAGCCAATGGACGGCCCCCAAGTCTCGGGCTAACAAACCAGGGTCCTGTCTTCCCTAAAGCCCCGTTGTTCGTGTGTCATCCAGCCCAAGAGCCCAGCTAGAGAATTGGAGTCGTTGGGGTCTGATGCATTGACGCAACAGAGCAACGCGTTGGGCTTCAAGGGAGCAGAGCAGCAGCAGCAACCACAACAACAACACCCGGATGTGCGATGCAAAAGCATGACAGGGCAAACGAAGGTCGGCCAGACAGCCAGCCGTGAGCTGGTAATTGGTGACTGGGAACCGAGAGCAGGGAAACTACTCCAGGTAGCAATAACACGGACGGTAAACATTCATGCAACCACTAGCTCGCAGCAGCGGCTACGGCGACGACGACGACGGGATGGAGTAGTAGCTGCTTACCTTGCCTTGCCTTGCCTCCTTTCCCGGCTCCTGGATCTAGGCCTGCCCCTCGACCTGCTGGACCCTTTCGTCTCCTGTCCAGGGCATGGCTATGCTTTCTGCGTTCCACGGGAACCACCAGATGAAACCGAATTTTCCCAGTCTATAGTTAGCAATCAAAAACCGCCGAAATCCTGACCCTAATGGTCATGCGAATTTCTGCTCACCTTGTTGTGTCTGTTTTCCCCAGAAGGCAACTCTTGTCGCACAAGTGTCTTGCCCACCTGTTCTCGTCGCTGTCTATGAACTTCCCTTCCACCACTCTCCAACTCCAGCGGCGACTTTGAATTCCACCGCCCGCATCTCCAAGCGACCTTGCTGATCGATAGAGCGGTACTTCGCCAGAAAAGGTACGTACCTCTGCCTCTACCCGTCCCGCCTTCACCAGCGAAGGGCAGTCTGGGACACCTGCCTTGCACTGGCACTGAACCAGACTGACTTCACTGTGTCCACCCGCCAATGGCCTGCACTGACGGATGCCGCTCCCCCCTCCTCTCCAAAAAGAAAGGGGCCCCGCTAAAAACCACCAGCACAGGACGCACCCGCCGCCTTACCAACCCACTGCACCTCCAAGTCCCGTCACATTCGCACCGCATCCCACCTCCGTCTACATCAACATCCCTCCTCTCCGATCTTCTTTCCCGCGGCTCTGCTTCTTCGTACTTGAGAAGCTGTCAAATCTCTCGCTATCGAGCGTCAATACTTCTCATAAACCAAAGCCCGAAAGCGACTTCTGCCGTCAAAATGAACCCTCTTCAGAAGAACAAGATCGACGTCTCGGTATGTTGGCACCAGCCACGCCCTCTTTCCTACCCAATGGCCCCCACCTTGACGACGAAGCCCGCGATTGCATTACCACGCACACAATCGGCCACTCGATGAGCCGCAGCGGTTGAAATAATATCGCCTGCTGACAGTATTCTTCACAGTCCCTCTCTCCCGAGGAGCAACGTCTCTTCCGCCTCTACGGCAAGCTCCCCTCCCGCTCCGATCACTTCGCCAAGCACTTGAAGGAGCGCAAGTACTTCGACTCGGGCGACTATGCCATGTCCAAGGCCGGCAAGGGCGACAGCGTCGACACTGGTGCCGTAGGCAGCCAGCACCCCGTCCCCGAGAACATCCCCCACCTCTCGAGCCCTGTGAACAACTCCTCCTCCTCCCTCAACAACGGCGCCAAGCACCACCCCAACGTTCCCAGCGGGGCCCAAGCCGGCAGCCCCGTGAAGGAGTCCAGCTTCCTTAACCAAGAGACCAGCGCCGAGGAGGTCGAGAATAAGAACAACGAGAACAGCACGCCAGTCATTGACGGCGCTGCAAAGACCGAGGCCATCCCCATCCGAAGATGAGGGGTCTGCCCGAATGCCTTAGTCCGCTGTCCTTTCTCTGTCTTGTTACCCCAGGTTTTGTACGGGTGTTTATCGGAAACTCCCCGGAGGCAAATTGGGTGTTTGTCGGGGGGTTGGATTTCTACTACGATGTTATGATGAAGTGTTGATCTTTTCATGAAACTCCTTGGCGTTGGAATGGGTGGGAAACCAAGCACAATCGGTTGTTGGGTGGAGGTGGACTTATGTCGTCGGCTTGTCTGTCGTGGATGGACGGCGGGGGCGCTGGCGGTGTTACGCCGCGCTCCTGATCGTTTTTCCCGCTCCGCGCGGGACTACCAGGAAGTCTGATTTTCCGTACATGTGTAAAGGGCTGAAGCGGAGGAAGAGAACGATACATCAAAGCAGCCAAATCGAGAATTCGTGTCAATAGGCACATGGCCTCCGCCGTTCAACCGGTTCGTTCATGAGTTGTGGAAGGGCACTAGGTCGTCGTACAGGGTCGTTCCGCCTGCGAGCACTCCCGTGGTTACCTTAAACCCACGCCGTCCCCGGTCATCCCAGTGGAACCAACTTAAGTGCAGATACTTTCCAGTCAGGTCACGCCCGTGTTAATATCATCATACCATGCACAGTCAGAAGGCCACAGATAGTTATCGAACATCGAGAAACAGGCATTGATGGGATATCGATGTATTGATAAGCAGAAGACACTTTTTTCTGATGCCATGCGCCGTCCCATGTCCCAATATCCTTCCTCCCAGTGACCAATCCGTCTTGAAGACCTTATTTACAGATCCAACGCCTTGATGGCCATATCCTTGGCACCATCAAAAGTCTTGTTTCCACCAATGAAGCCAGCAGCGTGGACAAAGACACCCCCGGGAATACCAGTGATGCCGTCGAGCTCCTCGTCTCTGAATCCGCGCCACGCCTCGGGCAGGGGCTTGCGGCTCTCGAAAGAGTCCTTGGTGACGGGAACAGCCTGCACACGCCACTTGGCATCAGGGGCGGGCTTCTCCGGGTACAGGACGTACACGACGGACGGGTTTCCGCCCTCGAGGGAGTAGAGGTGGTCCTTCCAGGGAGCACTCTGGCCCTCGAGAACCAGCACGCGGCCCTGGGGGTCGTACTGCGTGCGCTTCTCAAAGGCGGCCTGCACGACGGCGCGGGCGGGCAGCCACGCCTTGGCGTAGTAGTCGAGGTCGGCGTCGAACTCCTCGCCGATGCGGCGGCTCGCCTTGGCGAAGCGCTCGTCCTCCAGGCGCTGGGCCTCGACAGGGTCGGAGGGGACGGGGTCGTTCCAGTTGGGGTTCAGGCGGCCGACGACGGAGCCGAGGGTGAAGGCGCCCTCGCTGAAGCGCTTCTCGAGGCCGGCGGCGGCGACGGCCTTGGGGTCGTAGACGGAGATGCCGTTGTCGTGGGCGTCGAGGGCCTCGACGAAGCTCTCGTACAGCTTGTTGTACAGGAGCTCGACCTCGGGGCTGTCCTCGGAAACGGGGGTCTCGGCGCCCTCGCTGAGCTTCTGGGCGATGATGGCCTTGCCGAAGTGCATGAAGACGAGGCCGGCGGAAGAGAGCTTGGTCGCCTTTCCGGGGAAGGTGGTGGTGAAGCCACGCTGGTGGTGGTCGTAGCGCTTCTTGCCGTCGTCGTACTCGCCGCCGACGTCGACGACGGTGTGGCAGGTCTCGAGGAGCTTGGGGTCGCGGGTACGAACCAGGTTGGAGTCCTTGTACGTGGGCAGCAGGCGCAGCATGTGCACGGCCAGGGCCTCGTCGGCGTGGAAGTGGCCGTTGTGGGTGCCGATAGTGACGGGCGACATCTTGAGTCTCTTTGCAGCGTTTTCAGCCATTCGTAAAGGGTTGCTAGTTCTGAAAAAGCTGCGGAACATGCAGCTGAGGGGTAGATTTGTGGGTGAGGAAAGCTCCTTCGCTTTCAGAGTGCCAGCTCAATTTTTCTCAACTGTTTGGGTATCTTTGAAAAGAAGGTTTTTGCGTTACCCCTTGATATCGTAAAAATCGTAGTATTGGGTTCTCACAAACAAAGCCAAGCTGTGGATTGTTGTTGGAAAGTTGGTGGTGATGGATCGTGGAAGGCAAAATGTGAAGTTTTGAGATGTGATAGCCACACTCCCTGACCCCAGCTCAAGCCACACCAATCACAAGCAAGATGAACCTTTCTTATCACCACGCCACTGTCGGCGTATCAGCGACACTGACGCTTTTCCCAAGCTCCTACTGGAGAGAAGTTGCCAGGACCGATCGCAGCCTCGCCCTGCATCCGCGCGCCCGTGGAAACCCCCAACGCAACTCTGGTCACGTCGCCCGTACACAATTGCAACTATCCATCAATGTCATCAACAACAGCAAGCCCCATCAGTATCCGATGAGCACGACCATACCTTTTGAAGCGTAGCTCGCCCACTTTCCTTTTCACATTCCAATCGACGAAAACTCCAGCATCTCGGCCGTCGCGATTGATTACTTCCCTGCGGAACGAGCATTCGAAAACCCTCACACGCACTCATCATGCCTGCCGCAATGGAAGACGCGAACGGCAGCGTCGCCCGCGACGTCAAAGACGAACACAACGACTCCGACGATGGGAGAGCAGGCGACGGAAAGACGACGTATAAGTCGTGGAAGAAGAAGTACCGCAAGATGCGCATCACGTTCGACCAGAAGATGCACGATTGCGAGGAGCTGCATCGTCAAGAGTCGAAAGCGCTCGCCACTGCAAAGCAAATCGCCATCGAGAACGAGTGAGCCACCAGAAATGCCATCAACGGCCTCCCCCCTGAATCTTTCGACAATGCATTGACTTTTCTCTTACCAGTCGCATCCTTGATCTGCTCATGGACATGAACTCCTCAGCACAGATTCCCTTCGACAAACGCGTCGACATCGCCCAACCACCACCCAAAGATGTACCGTACTCTCCGCTCGACGTCGACGAGGCTACCGCTGTCGAGGCCGCCGATACCGACGAGCTCAACAAGCCGACGAAGTCTCTCACGGTCCTTCTCAAGGACGTCCCTCACTCAACCTATGTTCAAGCAAAGGAGCATTCCCCCTCCGTCGTAGCAGACATGGAGCCCGCCCCCGGAGTATCGCACACCCCAGCCTTCCTCACCCCAGACGACATCGACGACTACCTCTACGATGTCGACAGGCGCATCGACCCGGAGCACCTCCTCCCGACCCTCGCCCCATCCGCCCGAACAAACGTTCCCCTGCCGGAAGCCAATCCGCACGCCCTGTCCCAGAGCATCGCCATGAAGAACCCTACGAGCGTGTACAACTGGCTCCGTAAGCACGCACCCAAGACGTTCCTGCAAGATGCCGAGAACGCCGCCGCCGCAGCCGTAGGAGACGAAGAGCACGCCGTCGAAACACCGCAAACCGACGGCCGCAGACGACGCGGCGGTGCTAGGGGCGAGGGCAGTCGAGGCGGACGCGGTTCTCGCGGCGGCAAGCGCGCCTCCCTCGCCGCGTCCCGCGCAGAGAAGGCCGCCGAGAGGGCGGCGGAGAAGGCTGCCATCGCCGCCGAGCGTGCTGCAGCTATGCGTGAGGCCGCCGAGGCCTGGGAAGCCATGGAAGAGGATGACGACGACGTGGCCGTCGCGACCCCGGTTACCGGCCGCGGTAAGAGGAAGCGCGCAGCCGCTAAGGACGACGATGACGGCGGCTACAGGCCTAGGGGGTCTGTAGGACGTCCGGCCAAGAAGAAGCGCAAGAGCGAGGGAGCCGACGCCGGAACTCCCACAGTATCAAAGAGAGGGCGTAAGAGCGCAGCCCTGGACGACTAGAGGGCGGCTCTTAGGTTTCGAAGGCTGGCCGAGCTCCGTCACTACTGAGGCGATCATGGATGCGAAGACCTCGAAGTTTACATGGTGCGATGGATGTGCGATAGCTACTTTGCCGCGTTGTAGGAGCACTATTGCTTGGCGCGAAAAGTCTGTTTTTTCCTCTTCTTTTTCTTTCTCGGTCCGTCGCAATCGTCTATTTTCTAGACTTGTACATCATACACTAGATCAATCAGGGGACAATCAGTGCTCCCAAAGGTAGAACTAGGAGACGACGGCATGTACGTGTTTGCGTGGTGGGCTGGCTGTGCGGCGGGTGGGAGACCTGAGCCTCGCAGAGCCCAAGTGTAGGGCATGCAGGTGGTAGGCAGGGCAGGCGTCACGGAATTCATCGCGGGAGCATTTTCTCGCAAGGGGTAAATTAGGCAAGGCAGCAAATCAAATGACACCTTTTTCTTTGTGCTTCTCCATCTTCTTCGAAACTCAGCATAGTGGACTATCACCCAGATTGTGTTCAAAAATTGGTTGGTTTCGTTATTTACCACTGGGTGCTTCCCTATGTACAGACGGCCCCCAAGGTTATCTTCACTCTCTCTCCCGCCCTCCGTTCTGTCCTCGCAAGTAAATGCTAAACAGATGTGATATCAAATAAAACGAGAAATACAATCCGCACACACCAAGATGCCTGTATGCCCATGCCGTCTGCTTGTGTTCTTGCTTCAAACCGCGCAAAACAGAAATACCCAATGTCGTTAAAGCCCATAGGTACAGAGGCCGTAGGCGGCACTTCCCTTCTCTTTTCGTCCTTTCTACAGTTGTCAAGGGTCTAGTCTAAACCCTGCCCTTCATCGTATGTCTCCTGAAACTTCGTCGGAGATCACACGTGTAACGGCCGCGCTCTAAGTCTGGAAGGCACTTTTACAGCTTCTGCTTGAGGATGTTCTTCATGCGGCGCTCGACGGCGTCGAGGTACTCGTTGGTGGTGACGTAGTCCTCGCGGGCGGTCTTGCCGCAGGCGAGGGCCAGGTCCTTGGTCATGATGCCGTCGACGTCGACGGTGTCGACGCAGGCCTTCTCGAGGGACTCGGCGAAGGCGACGAGCTCGGGGGTGTCGTCGAGCTTGCCGCGCTGGATGAGGCCGCGGGTCCAGGCGAAGATGGAGGCGATGGGGTTGGTGGAGGTCTCCTTGCCCTTCTGGTGCTCGCGGAAGTGGCGGGTGACGGTGCCGTGGGCGGCCTCGGACTCGAAGGTCTTGCCGTCGGGCGTGATGAGGACGGAGGTCATGAGGCCGAGGGAGCCGAAGCCCTGGGCGACGATGTCGGACTGGACGTCGCCGTCGTAGTTCTTGAGCGCCATGATGTAGCCGCCGGAGCTCTTGACCATCTGGGCGACCATGTCGTCGATGAGGCGGTGCTCGTACCAGATGCCCTTGGCCTCGAACTCGGCCTTGTACTGGGTGTCGTAGAGCTCCTGGAAGATGTCCTTGAAGCGGCCGTCGTACTTCTTGAGGATGGTGTTCTTGGTGGACATGTAGAGGGGCAGGCCCTTCTGGATGGCGAGCTTGAAGGACGCGTGGGCGAAGCCGGTGATGGACTCGTCAGTGTTGTACTGGGTCTGGGCGACGCCGCCGCCCTCCTTGAACTTGTAGACCTCAATCTCCTGGGGCTCACCACCCTCGGGAGTGTAGACCATCTTCAGGGTGCCGGGGCCGGGGAGGACGGCATCCTTGGCGCGGTACTGGTCGCCAAAGGCGTGACGGCCGATGACGATGGGCTTCTTCCAGCCGGGGACCAGGCGGGGAACGCGGGGGATGACGATGGGCTCGCGGAAGACGGTACCGCCGAGGTGGTTACGGATGGTGCCGTTGGGGGAGAGCCACACTGCGGAGAGGGGTCATTGTGTTAGTCTACGAGGGTGGTGCGTTTACTTTTTTGTCATGGGGTTACAACTCTAAGGGCATCGGGGAGAACGGGAGGGGCCGGGGCTGATCTGCCATGCGGGAGCTCGCGCCGGAAAACTTTATGCAGCTACCGGCGCAGCGCCCGGAATGCGGGGAGCAGGCGGCGGCGGCGGCACTGAGACAAGTATCTCGGGGTTGGGGGCTGGAGAACCGCAATTGCTTGCAGATTCACGCAGCCACAACGCCGGCGCATGGAGAGGAGAGGAAAGTGACGGAGGCGGGTACGTTCAGGTGTACTCACTCTGCTTCAGGTTGAACTCCTTGACACGGGCCTCATCGGGGGTGATGGTGGCGCACTTGACACCGACGGAGTACTTCTTGATAGCCTCGGCGGCGTCGAGGGTGACCTTGTCGTTGGTCTCGTCACGGTAGGGCAGGCCGAGGTCGTAGTACTTGAGGTCGATGTCGAGGTAGGGGTGGATGAACTTGTCCTTGATGGTCTGCCAGATGATGCGGGTCATCTCGTCGCCGTCGAGCTCGACAACGGGGTTCTTGACCTTGATCTTGGCGGCGGTAGCCATTGTGCGGGCAATGTTGAATGCGGAGAAGGAGGAGTTGGGGACGACGAAGGAGGGCCGGAGGGCGAAGGTTGCGGGACGGCGGAGGAAGCGGGCTGCGTTCATGATGGCGGCGGTTTTTGTGTGTATCGCGGGGTTTTTGTTATGAGGGGTTCCCTTATTTTTTTCTTCGGCTCTTGTCGGTCGGTCGCGGGGAAGGGGTGGTTCTCAGAAGAGCCGCGGTTACTGAACTGCTGGGTACCGGGTAGTAGTCTGATTCCGGGTGGCGGCGGACGGGAAGGAGGGGAAACGATGCAACAAGATGACTGGCTTCCGGAGCTGTTGGCTTGCTGCAGGATGCTGCTGCTGCTTGCTTGATGCGTGAAGAGTGTCAGGCGCGGGAGCAGAGACGGCTGGGACTAGAAAACTAACGCTGACGATCGCGAAGCCACGACAAGACACTAAAAAAATTAAGAGTGCGGTGGTTTTGTTGGAGTTGGAGGAGGGGAAGTTTGCGACAAGCAAAAGGCAATTGACAGCAAACCACTTGGAGGAGACCGGGACATTGATGAGGAGAAGGAGGCGAGGAGCGGAAGAGGGAAAAAGGATGGCCGGTTGCAATTGAAACCTGTCAAAGCAAGAGTCAAGCACCACGAAAAAAAATACCTTGGACCAGGTATCTCGAGAGAGGGCGAAGAGCGAGCGAGAGCGGGAGGGTAGCCGAGCCGAGATCGTCACAGGAAAGTGTTCCGGGGACCGGTGAGTGGGCGGCGAGCAAAGTAGAGGTACTACAAGAGCTCCAGCAACTTGCACTGAATTATGCGGAAGATTCTCCCATTCTGCTGGGTGCAATTGCGGCCTTTTCGAGTACCGCGACTTGGGTTGGCATCAATGGATAACATCGGCCCCTCCTCGTCGACCTTGACCTGGCGGCGAGACAACGGGGGCTTGCTTGTCTCTTCATCTCGGACCTCTCTTCGGCCACTGCTCGCGACCTAAATGACTCTGATGGAGCCTTTTGTGATCCTATATCGGCTTTTAGGCCTGAGCTAAAGCTGACTCTTCTAGGTCTTGAGAGAGTTTTTTTCCCTTCTCTTGTGGTAATTCGCGCTCGTGGTGAGCAACAGTCTGGCGTCACGCTACCCCGATGCATGAAGAAGGTCAATCTTCTGCAACAGAACAGTTTTTTCTGCAGCGGACGACAAGCAAAGCAAACTGATCACGCCAGTCTGTGCTGCAGAGCATGTGGCAGTGGCAGGGTCCTAGCTACCTAAGGTGAGGTACTATGTCAAGCAGTGTCTCAGGCGCTTCTAGGCCGTGACCTCTGCTACAACGGAACCCCTCGCCGCTCTGTTTGCGGGCAAATCATCATCGTCATTGGAGGGAAATGGGACGGGGAAAATGCAGGCAATGATTGTGATTGGAAGGGTTAAGATGGACGACTGGACGGGAGCAACCCTCCCATGTCATTTCTGGTGCGGTACATGATAAAATGTCCTGATGTGGTGGTCTTTTCTCCCCCACATGTTGCCAGAGCTTCGTGCGGGGAAAGCTGTCGAAACGTCTCTCCAAGGCATTGATCAGAGCATCTTGATTTTGCGCATGTCTTCTCCCAAGGAGTATTTATGCTCAATCACGTTGTGCATTTCTGCGAGGCCCCGACTGCCAAAATGAAGCCGCCGGAGCGCGCCGCCGGGACTTAGCCCAGCCTCCTCGTCCAACTACCCGTTCATCCAGCCGTCAACCCCTCTTCTCAAGGATACCCAAGGTCCAACGGTTCACTCAATGGCACTCAATCCATCCATTCGCAACATCTCCTGCCCCTCTGGAGCTCCCTCGATAACTCCCAAAGCACTTACACAATAATTGACAATAAAATCATGTCCAGCAAAGCCGCTTAGATAGAGAAAAGGCTCGCTGAAACCAACTTTTGAATCCACAGCCAGCAACAAGAACCCCACTATGACTGCTTTTTCCCGCCCAAGGAAGCGGGGCCGTCCAGCTTCACTCCTCCGATCTCGGTGCCGCTCACACATCCGCGCCCCCGATTCCCGCGAGCAGCGAACCTGACGAGAAGCGCAAAGGGAAAATCCCACCGAAACCACCGAGATCACCGAGGTTACGCACAGAAAACCCGGCGGCACAGCTGAACGTCAGGTCTTACTTAAGCTCATGCTTATTTAATAAAAGGCTTGGCAAGGCAGAATACCCAGACGCTCGACTGCACGTCAAGGCGGTGAGCTCTCGGCGGGACAGTGTTTGGTTGCACGAAAAAGAGCCAAGCCTCATCTCTCCCAAAAGGAATACTTACCCAGCCAACGTACACCACCGCGGGCTTCTCGCATCCCGCGGGCCATCGTACATATGTGCGCTGCTGATGAGGTACGTAGGCCAGACGCTCCGCTCCGCACGCGTTCATTGATAGTCGGGCCATCACCATCACCATCAACACCGTCTTCGCCAATGAGTCCGTCCATGTCTTGCCAGCGCAGCACGATACGACCGCACAGGTGTAAACGTCAGTGACACGCTCTCATCCTCATCCT